GGGGCGTTGACCTAAGGAACCCTAAATAAGGAACGGGGCCCCTATTTCCCATAATTTGAACTTCGAATTCCTGTCGAAAACATAAGGAAAGCCTGAGGCAAGCTGTGAAACACTTAAGGAACGCGGAGCCCCTCCCCAACGAAAAGGGTTCCTTCTTCAGGGCCCCGACTGTACCTTGTGACCCACCCCTCGACCCACCCCGCGACCCACCCCGCCGACCCACCCCGCCGACCCACCCCGCGACCCCCAACCTGCGCCCGCCCCCTCGCTCCTGTCCGCGACTGCGGGGCGCTCGGGTACCGTCTCTTCCTCCTCCGGACCCTTGCCGCCCGACGGTGACGTCGGTGCACTTCAGTTCCAAATGGGCGGCTGGCCTTGAGTAGCGCACAGCAGCCAGACTCGAACTGATCCCTATCCCTAAGATCGGCAAGCAAAAAGAGATGACGATCTTAGGGATGTGCCCTCAGAAACTGGGGAAATCCTGAAGATCGACATCGAGGTAAGGTGATGCCAAACATAGGGATAGGGATATGTTTCAAACTGGTAAGCACAGCAGAACACTACCACAGGTCAACCGCCCCTTGTCTATGGTGCAAGTAGCCAAAGCTAAGCACACCGCGAGCCTCATCCCCCTCCACATGGCGGGTTCCGGAAACCCTGAACCCAAAAACGTTGTCATCTCTTGGAAGGTCGACCTTTACTTTCGCCGGCTTCCGCCGAGCTTCCGCCAGGCTTCTGCAGTTTTACTTCCGCCGCCGCCTTACGCCGACCTTCCGCCGCCTTCCGCCGCGGCCGCGATGGCAACTCCTTCGATCCTCGAAGGCGAGGCCCGCTCTGGAACGCCTCACATAACTGCCACTAGCCTCGAACTGATTCCTATCCCTAAGATCGGCAAGCCCAATGCGATGACAATCTTAGGGTGCGCCCTCAAAAACCGAGGCAATCCTTGAGATCGGCATCGGTGCAGGGTGATGTCAAACATGGGGAAAGGGGCGTGTTTCAAGCTGGCAACCCAGACCCCCGACGTCATGATTTCTTCACGACGCGACCCCCAAAGGTCCGGACCCATTCCCTGGCACCGGACGGCCCCGAGGCCCGGTGAAGGCCCCCCCGAGGCCGAGAGTCGCGAAACACCTCCCGTCGTGGTTTTGCCATGACCCGAGGGGAGAGCATGCTGCGCATGGAATGAATTCCACGAAAATCGATTGCCGCGGATCCGTGAGTGGATCAGTCTAGATGATGATGAGGCTATGGTGCCTCTAGATTGGGAGATCCCCGGCCGCCCGATGGTGACGTCGGTGTACTTCAGCCCCGAGGGTGTCTTCACCGTCGGCGCGCCCGGCGCCAGCGGCTCGGGCCGCCGCGCCGGGCCCACGGCGGGCGAGGGCGCCCGGCGGCCGTCGAGGGGTGGCGCCTCCGCCGCGAGCGCGGCGGGGGCGCCCGCGGCGGCGAGCAGGGCGGCGGCGGGCAGCAGGTCACGCCTCGGCGGGCCGCCGCAGAGGGGGCCCAGGGGAGTGCCGCTCGGAAGGTCGCCCCGGCGGCCCCGCTTCGGGCGGGTGGCTGCGCGGCAAGCGCTCGGCCCAGAGCGGAGGGGCAGACGCCGGCGGGGCGTCGCGGGGTGGGGCCAGGCTGGGGACGCGCCAGGGGCCGGGAGCCAAGGCCAGGGCGCCGGCCAGGGAGGCAGGCGGAGGCAGGGGGGGGCGGGGCCCAGGAGCAAGGAGTAGGCACCAATCCCTGGATTCCCCCCCCCTTTGCCAGTATGTTCTAGGCGTGCGTCTGCTCCACCACTTCCCGAAATTATGTTCCCGTGTGTTCTCGGGAATCGACGACGCACTGTGCCTGTGTGGTGTCTCCCCGCCTGAAGCTGCTCCAGCGCGCAACATGCAACCCGCAGCGTCTTGGCACGGAGCTCAACACGCAGAATGTGAAAGCGCAGGTCTAGCGCGACACGCTCGCCAGAAACGCGGGCCAAAGCGTCGAGCCAACCACGCAGCGCGCTGACACGGACGCGTTGGGCACCTCACGCCTCGGCGAGGAGGCTAAGTTGCAGCTAGGACGAGGATAGCGTCGGCGACGGCTAAATCGAGAATCTCTGAGATCCGGCGGAAATGGGGGGTGTATCGGGCGTCGCGGCCTGCTCAGAGCGCTCGGGAACGCTCTGAGAGCGTTCCGGAACGCTCTGGAACGGATTTATCCTCGTCCTAGCCCCTTCCGAGAGGCGGAGGCAGCGCCAGGAGTCCGACGTCTTGAAGAAGCGAAGCGGAGGTTTCTCGCAGTTGCTCGGGCTCCCGGGGGGGGGTCCTCGCAGCGGCCCCTGGCCGTCCGAGGGACGCGGAGAGCTGGCCCTGGGGGGCGGGGTCGGCACTTCGGGGGGCCCTGTGTTGAACAAATTCGAGTCGCTGGATGTCTGTGAATACCTACCAGACCACCCCAACCCAACCCGAAGACCCGAATTTCGGGTTGGGGGGGTATGGGCTCAATATGTGTTTTTTCGATGGACCCCTCCCCACTGGAAATAGAACGGATAATTAGGCCTTCGGGTTGGGTTGGGGTGGTTTGGTGGGTGGTGAGCCTGGGGTGGAGTAAGACGGAGCCAGGACCAGGGACAAGCTCGGACTGGGGGTCACGCTTTGGCGAGGTAGCGGGCTGGTACGGTTACTGCTCCCCTTACGCGGACGCCCCCAAGGTCGGGATGGGGTCTGCCGCCGTAGCGCGGATTGTGCCGCCATGCCCCGTCGCCGAAGGTTCTCGCAGCGGAAACAATCCGGGAACTCCGACATATTGAAAAATCAAGGCGGCGGTTTTTCGCGGGGCCCTGGGACCGTGCAAGAACGACTCGGAACGAGACAGCAGCGCTGGGGCGAGGGTCGGGACGTTTGGAGCCCAGTGTGGAAAAAACGCAGCATTGGATGTCTGGGGTGGCGTAAGACGGCAGGCGGCCGCGGGCAGCAGGTCACGCCTCGGCGGGGAGGCGCAGGCAGCGGAGGATCAACGGCCAAGAGGATGGTCGATAGTATCGACCATCCTCTCGCGCCAGAGTATTACTCTGGCGCTCCGTGATGGGCGTCCGTGAATGCGCTGCGCTTCGCCACTCGCCAGCGCTCGCCACTGGGAGCAACTGAAGATGCCTGGCCCCAAGGTCTCGGCGAGCGTTCGGTCGGGCGCGTCCTCGTACAGGGGGATTTTGGGCGAGAGTTAAGCAATAGTCAAAACATGTGCAAGAATAGTCAAACATAGTCGGAACTTCGTCCCCAGACTAATTGCCCTGTCGGTTTTTGAATCCTCCTCCTGCAACGGGACATGCCCGACGTAAGGCGAGCGAGGAGCGGGACGGTGGAGGGTCACGGCCCGAGATCGGGCGTCCGTTCGTTTCTGAGCCAGCGGCGGCGCAAGTAAAGGGGCCCCAGGACACACAAATAAATACACAAATAAAAATGTTCCCCATATTTTCCCATATTTTCTCAGTTTTCGTCTTCCCCCCCACTTCCCGTATTTTCCCATGTTTTCCTGGGAGTGGCCGATTAATTGTGTCTGTGTGCTTCTTTCCCTCCTCAGCAAGCCAGGCCGAATCTGCCCCCGTGGCTGCCTCTCGCCAAGCGAGCCGCCGAGGGCGTGCGAAACAAGGGGAGGCAGGAGCAGAGCGGAGGAGGGCGTGGCACGCCGTGTAGCAGGTCGCGCCTCGGCGAGGAGCGAGGAGGGGGGGAGAAGGACGAGGAACGGACGGAGACGAGCTCAGGCCTGGGCAAAGTCGGAGGCCTCTGCGAGCCGGCGGCTCTTGACGATGTGTGCGTGGGGACCTTGTGATACCATCTTCAAGGGGCCCAAGGACACACAAATAAATACACACAAATAAATACACACAAATAACAGGATCCCCCATATGTTACTATATTTTCTAGGTTTTTGTCTTCCCCCCCACTTCCCATATTTTCCCATATTTTCATGGGAGTCGACGATGAATTGTGTCTGTGTGTTTCTTTTCCTCCTGACATCTGGGAAGCACGTTGAGGTTCTCTTCGGCGGTCCGCGGCCTCTCCAGAAGACACGTCTTCGCCTGTCTGCGGGCCCTCCTGCTGCTGTGCGACCCCGTCCTGAGACCCTCCTGGGGCAGTCTGTTCGAGCCCTCTGGATGCCTCTGTGGCTACTCTGGGGCTCTCTTGGAGACGAAATCCGAAGAAGCCGACAGTGGTAGAATGAGCCCGCGAAGCCTTCTGGAGCCTCTTGGGCCAGCTGGGCGCCCTCTTGGGCTGGAGCCCAGAGGGTATGCGAAGGCGCTGCATCTTGACCCTCAGAGCGCGTGCTCGCGCCACTGTGCGCCACTGTGCGCGACCGTGCAACGCCCTTCGATGCGACGCAGGCGGGCCGACACGGGCTGCGTGATACCGGTGATGCTGAGCGGGGCAATACGCACGCACCCAAAGACACACACACACACACATTGCACTAGCAGGCGTCCTGAGAATGAGGGGCTACGTTAGGGGGAGACCAGCTCAGAGGGGGGAAACATCGACCTGGAATCGGCGATGCATCGCCGGTAGATCGGCGATAGGCCCCCGATGGCGAATCCGCATGCTCCTGGGCGGAGCGGGCTATCGGGCTTCTACGGTGATGGCATTGGATGAGGAAGCCTTCGATAAGGAATCCAGGGTCTGGAAGCCAGTGGAAAGCCAATCGTGGATTGGCCATGGATATCACCGCCGCCCTCATCAGATAAGGAACCCTCGAGGGTCTGAAGCCCCTGGACACATTCCTTAACTCACGCCCCCACCGTATCGGTGGTGCACGGGCGATCTGGGGCCGACGCATCCACCCTGAGCCTAACGTTGCCCCTGGGAGGATGAGTAGGTGGTGACATCCGAACCCTACCCCCACCAACCATCGCTTCTTCTGAACCGATGGGAGGCAGTGATAGGGTTCGGATTTCGCCACGTGTTCGACGAATTCCGAACCCTACCCACGTCGCCCATCGAGTTGCCTTACTCGTTAGTCGGCGAAGGTAGGGCGAAGAGGCCACATCCGCTCAAAATCGGTCCCTGGACCCCTCCGAGGGTCCATCTGGTGCAGCTCTTCGCCCCAGACCCGTTCCTGACGGCCGCCAGGGCCCGAAAGCGCCCCTCGGAGGCCGAAAATGGCCAACTTCGCCGCCCAGTCCCTACAGAGGCCTCCTTGATTGGGTCCGAGTAGGTGGGGTCGGAGGATCGCCCACATCGCCGATGCATCACCGCTGCATCGGCGATACATCGGCAACGTCGGCGGTCCATCGGCGACGCCAGCGCGGAGGAAATCGCGCACCACATCGAGCCGCATCGGCGATGCATCGGCGATGCGGCGCGATCCTCCGACCCCACCTACTCGTCCAGGAAGCCGTCCAGGAAGCCCAGACCGTCCAGGAGGAGGAGGAGGAGGAGGAGGAGGAGGAGGAGGAGGAGGAGGAGGGGGAGGAGGAGGAGGAGGAGGAAGAGGAGGAGGAGGAGGGGGGGAGGAGGAGGAGGAGGAGGGGGAGGAGAGGAGGAGGAGGAAGGAGGAGGAGGAGGAGGAGGAGGAGGAGGAGGAGGAGGAGGAGGAGGGGAGGAGGAGGAGGAGGAGGGGAGGAGGAGGGGGAGGAGGGGGAGGGGGAGGAGCGCGAGACTTGGACCCCGTCCAGGAAGCCTCGACGACCGCGCCCCGCCGCCGCCCGGCAACACCAGCGCCCTGCCAGCGGAGGCCACCAGGGCGTGCGCCACCGCCGCCGCCGCCGCGGCGGCCCCCGCCCACGCCGCGCGCCTGCAGCGGCGCGCGGCGCGGCGCGGCCCAGTGATCCGCCCTGGCCGGCGCGCGTCGCGCTCGCGGCGCTCGCCGCTGGGCCGCGGCCGGGAGGCCGCCATGGCCGCCGCGCAGCCGCGGGCGCGAGCTCGCTGGACGTGTGGTCCGGGGACGAGGGTTCAGAGGCTCCCACCCCCCCGATGGCATGGGCCGCAGGGTTCCACAGGCCCCCCCCCCTATTCCCCAAGGTAGGATGGGGGAGGACGACGACGACGCCGACGCCGACGCACGACGCCGGAGCCGACGACGACGACGACGATGACGACGTCGCCGACGCCGACGCCGACACCGACGCCGACGACGACTACGACGACTACGACGACGCCGACGCCGACGCCGCCGCCGACGCCGACAACGGAGCTGACGACGACGCCGACGACGACGCCGACGCCAACGCGGACGCCATCGCCGCCGCCGCCGACGCCGACGGACGACGACGACGCCGACGCTGACGCCGACGCCGACGCCGACGCCGACGCCGCCGACACTGACGCCGACACCGACGCCGACGCCGATGCCAGCGCCGACGGACGTCGACGACGCCGACGCCGAAACCGCTGGCGACGAAGCCCATGAAAGACGACGACGACGCCGACGCCGAAGCCGACGCCGACGCCGACGCCAGCGCCGCCGACGACGACGACGACGACGACGACGCTGACGACGACGGACGACGCCGACGCCGACGCCGACGCCGACGCCGACGCCGACGCCGCCGACGCCGACGCCGACGCCGACGACGACGCCGACGCCGACGCCGACGCCGACGCCGACGACGACAACGACGAACACGACGGCGACGGCGACGGTCGACGACGACCTCGACGTCGACGACGGTCGACGACCAACTCGACGACGACGACGACGCCGACGCCGACGCCGACGCCGATGCCGACGACGACGACGACGACGACGACGACGACGGCGACTGGGGCGGTCGACGACGGTCGATGACGACCTCGACCTCGACGACGGCGACGACGCCAACGGCGACGGCGACGATCGACGACGGCCGACGACGACCTCGACGACGACGGCGCTCGACGACAACCTCGACTACGACAACGATGACGCCGCCGTCAGCGCCGACGCCGACGCCGACTCCAGCGCCGCCGACACCGACGCCGACGGACGACGCCGACGCCGACGCCGACGGTCGAAGATTGTCGACGTCGACGACGCCGACGACAACGACGCCGACGACGACGGCGACGACGACGAGCCCAACACCGCCGACGACGACGCCCATGAAAGACGACGGCGACGACGCCGACGCCGACGCCGACGCCGACAAGCGACGACGACGACGACGATGGCGACGGCGGCGGTCGACGACGGTCGATGACGACCTCGACGTCGACGACGGTCGACGGGGTACCTCGACCTCGACGACGACGACGCCGACGACGACGGCGACGGTCGACGACAACGACGACGACCTCGACGTCGACGACGGTCGACGACAACCTCGACGACGACGACGACGAGCCCAATACAGCCGACGACGACGCTCATGAAAGACGACGGGGACGACGCCGACGCCGACGCCCCTGCTGACGCCGACGCCGACGCCGATGTCAGCGCCTCCGACGACGGACGACGCCGACGCCGACGCCGACGACGAGCCCAACACCGCCGATGACGATGGCCCATGAAAGACGACGTCGACGACGCCGACGCCGACGCCGACGCCGACGACGCCGACGACGACAGCGACGACGGCGAAGGTCGCAGACGACCTCGACGTCGACGACGGTCGACGACAACCTCGACAACGACGACGACGACGTCGACGAGCCATCCCGCACCCACAGGTGAGGGGGGAGCACGGGCACCCTCCACCAAGCCACGCCCACAGGGCCACGACCACAGGGAGGAGGAGGGGGGAGCGATCCCATTCGCGAGGCCCTCGCGAAGCTAACGGACC